GACTGGACCGCCTTCTGGACATTACTGAACTGCATTTCCCATGATCCCTGTTTATTTTAGAAGCAAATACATCCCTGTTCCAGCAACAATCCACTTGGCACAGAAAAGGAGCATAAAACCAATATCTAAAATTACAAGGGTTTCCCAAATGGGTGAAAGCCATGCTATAAAAAGGCTACTGCTGTGCTGCAAAAGGAGTGAAGTGGTCCTGGAGTTATAATAAAAAAAATAGCTAAATATCTTTGTTGTGGTATGGTGGGGAGGAATTAATTACTACTTGTGGGTAAATAATCACCTCCAAACTCATAGCAAATGGGAGTCTTCCAGGCATTGCCCATCACTCTCCAGGTACTGGTGGGACTCTGCCAGTCCTCCTCCTGAAAACCAGTATATCAGAATTGGATTGAGGAGACCAGATTCAAACTCATAACTTGCCCAAATCCCTTGGGCTAGCTGCCATCTTGCAGCCTGACCTACCTTGCAAGGCTGTGGTGTAGATCCCACTTTGCTCTCTGGTTGTGAAAGCTGGACAGTGAAGAAAGTGAATAGGAAGAAAATCAACTCCTTTGATATATGATGCCAGAGGAGAATTCTGCGAATACCAAAAAATACAATGGGTCTTAGAGGAAATCAAGCCTCAACTCTCCCTAGAAGTGAAGATGACCAAATTGAGACTATTATACATTGGACAGATCATGAGAGGGCATGTCTTGGAAAAGATGATAATGCTTGACAAAGTGGAAGCAGGAAAAGAGGGAGACCATGTTAGTGGATGGATCTTAAAAAAGAAGCCAAGAATTTGCAAGACATGAGCAGAGCTGTGGATGATGGAGGTCTCTCATTCATAGGGACGCCATATGTCACCTTGACAGCAAATAACAACAACACAGGGTGTTCCACTTCCTAGTTTGGAAACTGAGATTTTTTTGTGTGTGTATTGTTTAAAAAAGGGAAAGAAAGGCAAATTATTATTATTATTCTGCCCCGGAGCGATTCAATTTCCCTAGTCTTAGTCAGCAGCTCACAAAATTGTGAACTCCACCCCTTTCCCATGCAGTTGTTCCTTGCAAAGCTGGTCTTTCATTCCTTGCAAAGGGATGCACCTTATGCTTTACAAAGCTGGTCTTCTCCATTTCAAATCCCACTCTACCAGGGAAACCCACTGGGTTACCTTGACCCACACTCTCTCAGCCTCAGAGAAAGGCAAAGGCAAATACCCTCAGAACAAACTTTGCCAAGAAAACCCCATTGCCATAAGTGGGAAATGACTTGAAGGCACACAACAACAATGATGATCTTCCTGGTTCCTCCAAGGAAATTCTGAATTTCTGTACAGGTGTGACAAAGAACAACAGCAACAACAACAACTATTTTGCTTTTAGCTAGAAGGTGGTGCAGAGCGGAGTAGAGGGTGAGCTCTGGCACCACAATTGCCAGGGAAGGAGGATGGTAATGTACATAATATAAACACATAGACTCAGAAAGTGAATGTAGAGCGGTGTGGAAGGTGAGCTCTGGCACTGCAAGGAGGATACTAATATACATAATATATTATGTAGAGTCTTTGCACGCTGCAGTAACAAATCACCCAAGCCTTGCAAATGGTAACGAACTGCTCCTCTGCTAATTGAGCTGGAGATTTGCACCGAGCCCTCTTCTGCCCACTAAAATGGGAGCATTTGCATCCTTGTCTCTCACTGGGAGATGACCTGTGAAACCTGGAGACCTCCCGAATTCTCTGGAGGAGCATAAACAAGCATTACGCCTGGGTGTGTGTGGGTCAGGAAGGGATTGAAGGTCAAGCCCAGCCCAAAGTGTGAGATTCGACAGGGCTGGGTAGCAAAGGTGCCGCGAGGGTGTGGCGCCGTGGCGCCCTCTTGGCATGGCATGGGTAGCGGTTGGCGGGGCCGTGCCCAGCTGGTACGACGATGGCGCGGGAGTGGGAACTGACGCACACCCTGATCTCTTATGAGCGAGGAGGAGGAGGAAGGGGACCGAGATAAGCCAAGGAGGCACCATGGCTGCTGCCACCACATGCCCATGCCAACCCCAGGGCATGTGGGTGAGGATCGCAAAGGCGTGTGCCACCTTTGAAGACATGGCAGGCTCTACTTATGCGCTGGCTTGTGTGTGGCGGCAACAGGAGGAGGAGAAATGGAGGCCTTCCCTTTTGACGACCTGCCAGGGAGGCAAAGAGAGAGGCCTGGCTGCCATCCAGGTTCCCACAGAGGCCTGGTTAAGAAAACACATCCTGAGCCCATGGCGGTTGCCGGGGCAACCGGCCGGCTGCCATCTTGGTGTGCGCAAGGCGAGGGAGGAAGGGAGGGAGGGGGCCCCCAGGTGCGACAAGGGTTGTGTATAGTGTGCACACCAGCCAAAGTGTGGCATTGTGTGTGTGTGGAGGAGAGAAAACAAGCAAGCACATTTATAAGTGCATGTGTGTGAGAGAGAGCAGGGAAGGGATGTGGGGAAAGTGCATGGATGTGCGAGACTGCACACCTACGCAATGTTTGTGTGTGATTTGAGGGAAAGGGACTGCATACTAAGGCGGGAGAATCAGTGTGACATAGGGGTTTGAGCGTTGGGCAGGACTCTGGAGACCAGGGTTCGGTTCCCAACTCGGCCATGAAACCCACTGGGTGACCTTGGGCAAGTCGCACACTCTCAGCCTCAGGGGAAGGCACCGGCAAACCTCATTTGCACAAGCCTTGCCAAAGACTACAGTATTATAGATTCAGCTTAGGATCGCCACGAGTCAGAAAAGACTCTGGAAGGCACACAACAATCCAAACAACTTGGGCCATTTAGCCCATTTTGGATCAGTATTGCTTCCTCTGAGTGGCAGAGTTCCTCTCCTCTTTCTCAATCGGAGAATCTCCTGCAAAGGCCTTGACCTGCAGGCTCAGAATAATGTGCCTCTTCTACCATTGCGGTGTCCACACTGCTTTACCCACAAGGAAAACCATCTCTGGACAATTTAGTTCTTGCACAGTTCCTCAGAGGATGTTGCATTATTTCATGGTCACAACAAAGATGCTGAAGACGCCTGGAGAGAGTGCGGGAACAAGAGCCTTATTGGAAAATGGAGCATTTGAACCTGGGCCCTGTGGCTTTCTTCTCACCCTTTGCAGCTCCCAACCCAACTTGGCCGTGGTATCTGCCTCTCTGCCCTCTCCCTTCCCATGCGCCAGAAGGCCAACGGGTTCAGACGGGTTTTGTTCTTCACCCTGGGCAAGATGCCAGGGCTGTTCCTTTTCCAGCTGGGCCTCTCCTCCTCCTCCTCCTCCTCGCTTTCTGCCCTCCAGTGATCCGTGAAAGCCGACACTGGGGCGGAAAAGAGTGAGGGGGAGGCAGATGTGGCTGGGGGGAGAGGAATTTCACCCATACTTTTGGGGGGGAGGAAGCGGAGGAGGCACACTGTGGGTCTTTCTTGTTCCTCGCCAGCCCTATCTCCAAAGGAAACTCCATTTTCTATTTATAACTCCCGGGCAAAAATGGCATTTCTAGGATTGACCTTCGCTCTGCTCTCCCTTTGCCTCAAAGGAGTCTTTGTGCAACCCACAGTTGGCCCCACTCCTCTGCCTGAACCCCATTCATTCTCTCCTTCTTTCTCTCTTCCATGCTCCTCTTTTCCGAGGCAAAATAATTCCTTATGAGATTCCCTTCCAGTCCTCTGAAATGAAAGGAAGGAGTTGAAAGTCCCATCACACCAAGCTTCCAAGCACTCCATGCCCTGAGTCCTCAGTTTTTGTGGGTCATCTCTAGGCAAGATTGTATGTTGTGTGCTTTCAACTTGTTCCTGACATATGGCGACCATAAAGCAAATCTATTGTGGGATTTTCTTGGCAAGAGTTGTTCAGAGGTTTGCAATGCCTTCCCCTGAGGCTGAGAGCATGTGACTTGCTCAAGGTGGGTTTCTGTGGCAGAGCCAGGAATCAAACCCTGGTCTCCAGACTAGTAGTCCAGTGTTTGAACCACTGAGCCACACTGCAGAAGGCAAGGGTGCAAATCCTTCAGTTTGGGGGGGGGGGGGCTCATGTCCAGGCAAGAGGAAAAGACTGGGTGCAAATCTCCACCTCACTTAGGAAATATAATTTGCTATAATTTCCAAGGCTTAACCAATCTGTTGCTACAACTCACAAATGGAACTTCCCTTTTAGTTGTGGTGGGCTCACCCTCCACTCTGCTCTGCATCCACCCTTTGGCTAGAAGCAAATTTGTTGTGCACCTTCCAATTCATAGCAAAAGGTGAAACTATCATGGGATTTTCTTGGCAAGATTTTTCCAGAGTGGGTTTTCCATAGCCTTCCTCTGAGGCTGAGAATGCTCTGGTGCCACAAAAAAATACAATTCCAGGGATTCCCTAGCACAGAGCTGGGGCAGTAAAAGTGGTGTCAAACTGGATTATTTATGCAGTGTGGATTGGACTTTAGTTTACATGCTTTGCACAAAGACAGTCCAGGTTCAGTCTTCCCCTATCTACTGTTCAGATTCATCAGTTGGGACTTTTAATGCTGATTTATTTGTTTTTCTTCATGAACTGGAAAGTGCTTTAAGATGGTGTACTTCCCTAAGGTGTGCCCTGTCTGCCCACTCCTTGCAGCCTTGGCCAAATAGGTTCATTAGGTGACTGAAAGGACACACAGAGAAACCTGCCAGGCCTGTTTGTTTGTCCAGAAGCAAAAAAGGGAAGATTGTGCAAGAAACAATATCCCCTTTTTTTCCCTACCTTCTCCAGGAAAAAATGCAGATTACTAGGAGAATAGAGGTGTCATTCTTAGATTCTTTTCAAAGGAAGCAATGAGTAATTTTCAACAATTTTCTTCCCGCTATGCAAAAGTCTTTTGAAAACCATGCCGTTTTGGCTATTTGCAATTTGGGGCTTATTTTGTGCAAAATTCACGGATGATCGTTTTGCACAGAAAATGCTGTTTTCTGTGTAGAAAACAATATTTCTCATCAGTCCAGAGCTGCATCCTCACTGCAGAAATAACCTGGTCTGGCACCACTTTTAACTGCCCTGGCTCAATGGACTTCTGGGAATTGTAGTTTGTTGTAGCACCAGAACTGCCAGACAGAGGAGGTTAAATGTCTCACAAAACTACAGTTCCCAGGATCCCATAGCACAGAGACATAGCAGTTAAAGCGGAGCCAGACTTGATTATTTCTGCAGTGCAGATGCAGCCTAGGATTCTTCTCATCAGGATTTCTCAACACACACACACACCCAAAAGGTTTTTTTTTTTCCAAATAATTTTTTGAATATCTTCAAAAATTATTTCTATCTCTACTGTGGATAGCAAAAGGGAACTGGTATAGATGCCCACCTGTGTGCCTGGAAATGGGTCCCCTGCCAAGGAGAGTCAAAGTGGTGTAGTGGTTTTTATATACATACATACATACACACACACATATATACATACACACATACACACACACACGCGTATATAATTTATATATAATATTGTGTGTGTGTGTGTGTGTGGTCAGTGATAGCCAGTGTGATGGTATGACTATGAATCTGGAGAGCAGAGTTCAAATCCCCACTCAGCCACAAAAACCCACTGGGTGTCCTTGGCCAAGTCACACCCTCTCAGCCTCTGAGGATGACCATGGCAAACCCCCTCTGAAGAATCTTGTCAAGAAAACCAGGTGATAGGTTTGCCTTAAAAAGGACCTGATGGCACACAACACACACAACCCCCAGTGTCTTAAGAAGACAGAGGCCATCTGATCCCTTGGAAAGGGCCAGGCTCTCTCGCACACATTCCTGGGCTGTGTGTTTACTCTAGAGCAGTCCCCTCCATCCCTCTCTTCCTGCCAGGAATCTGCTGGCGGGCAGGCCGCCCCTTTCCGGATAGTCGTGGTCCCTCCCCACCTCCAGGATGTCCTGCCACCACCATTGTTCTCACCCTCCTTGCCCTTTGCTGGCAGAGATGGGGAGGCCAGGGTGGGTGGGGTGCCTTGGGGTGGGCCTCATATGCCAAGTGCCTCCTGGTTCCTCCCTGGTAGAGGCAGGGGATGGGCACAAGAACGAGCCCCCAGGCATCCAAGATGTCATGATAGCAGCCTCCATTTTGAGAGAGAGAGAGAGAGAGATTAGAAAATGCATTAAGCCCTCCAAGCAGGTGGGGGGGCTTTCAAAGAATACACCTCTGTTTTTCATTTTCATTGTTTATTCTCTTTCTATTCTGCCCTTCCTCTAGCAAGCTCCAAAGGGGAATACAGTGGTCCTTTGGGATCTGCTGGGGTTCAGTTTCAGTATCCCTCGCGGGGACCAAAATCCATGGATGTTCAAGTCCCTTGATATACAATGGCATCGTTTCTTCAGAGGGGGTTTGCCGTTCCTGTCCTCTGAGGCTGAGAGCGTGTGACTCGCCCAAGGTCACCCACTGGGTTTTCACGGCCGAGCCAGGATTCAAACCCTGATCTCCAGAGTCTCAAATCACTACACTATGCAGGCTCTCTCCATGAGGGCTAGAACCTTGTGATAGCCTAGCTTTCCAGTTGAGAAAGAAACTGTTCACTATCCAGCACCATTTCAAGCGGAGAGGTTGGAAAGGAATCCTGCACAGAGGCCTTGGCAAGGCTGAATTATTCAGCGAGGAAGGGCCCTGACCCCAGACAAAACCAAACACTGGGAGATGTGGTAACTGGTAATCAGATCTTTCTCTGCAAACATGACGTGGTTGGAGGGCAGGGGATGATGACTCTGGGCTCCAGCCACCAGGGTTTCGGTTCTTGCCCGACTGCTTTGGAGAGAAGGCCCTGGACAAGGGCAGCCAATATCCTGACCCAAAGTCCATCTCCCTCTCAGGGCTCCCTTCCAAAAGCTGTTTTTGAGGTCCCCAAACTATACCACTACGTAGTGTATACTACACATTAAACTACACATTATGTGGTTTAGCAGTTTGGGTGTTGGATGATTATTCTGGAGACCAAGGTTCAATTTCCAGCTCAGCCATAAAACCCACTGGGTGACCTTGGGTGAGTCACACTCTCTCAGTCTCAGAAGAAGGCAACAGCAAACTCCCAGGATAAGGTTGCCACAAATCGGAAACGACTGAAAGGCATACAAAACAACAAAGGGCTGTGGCCCACATGTGGCTCCCTGTCTCTTGGGCAAGTCACACTCTCTCCACCTCAGAGGAAGTCAGTGTCAAAGAAATTGAATTATTTTATCGTTCCTTGAAGTCTTTGGGAGCAGCAGTTCACCTTTTAAATAGGCAGTGCATCCCTCATGCATGATTTCACATTTTAAAAATATCCTTTTCAGACTTCTGGGCCAGTCTTGAGGTTTGGGGATTTGAAATAAATCCTTAAAATCAAGATAAATAATTTTTTTTTGGGGGGCATCCATATAGCCCTGGAGAATCCACCACAGTTGTCAACTCCAGGGGAAGACTTAATACCTTCTGAAGCCATTAAAAATTCTGGGCCCCTATTCTGACATCTATCTTCATCTGTATTGACAACTATGGGCAAGCATCTAAGGACTGGGGGCTTACTATCCCCATATTTTAAAAAGGAAAGAAGAATGAACCTGGGAACTACAGATCAAATAGTCTCCTCAATACAGTCAGCAAGTTCTACACAAGACATGTCAATTGCATGATTTTCACGGGTTAATCACTGTTTAAACTCCACATTCCCCCCCCCCCGTGTGATAAACTCCTTACAGTGGAAGCTCATGGACTGGTTGGAACTTGAAAACATACTTTCAGAGGAACAAACTGGCTTCAGGGAAGGCCAATCTACCATAGACCAGTGCCTTATACTTCAACACCTCATTGAAAAGTATGCCACATGCAACACAGTCTTTCTCTGTGTTGCCTTTATAGACTTTAAAGCAGCTTTTGACTCTGTATCTCAAACCAAACTATGGGAGGCTTCCTCGATTGACCGGCATTCGTATCCTGCATGAAGGGACCTCACTCAAAGTAAGATGCAATCCACAGAATCATCTCGCCGACGCCATTACCACTGAGAAGAGTGTCAAGCAAGGTTGTATTCTAGCTCCACTCTTGTTCAACTTTTACATAAATGACATGGTGGGTCTTCTTGACAACACAAATTTCCATCCTCTGAAACTAGAAGGAAGGCATATCTCAGCTCTGCTTTATGCAGATGATGCAGCAGTAATTTCAAGAACACCTATTGGTTTAAAAAGAGCACTAAGAACACTAATACAGTATTGCAAAGAGAATCAGCTAGAACTTAACTATAAAAAAACTAAAATCATGGTATTTTCTAAAAGGCCTAAGAACTGAAACTGGATTACAGATGATCACAAGATTGAACAGGTCTCCTGCTTCAAATATCTGGGAGTAATCTTTCATGCTACTGGTAGCAAGAAAGTGCATGGGGACTATGCTGCCGGTGATGTGCAGAGGAGCTCAACAGTCATCCTCAAAAATTTTATGATAAGAGGAGGCCATTATATTGTAGCGGCACTCAAACCCTTCAAAGCCAAATCAGATGCACAACTGCTCTATGGATCCCAGCTGGGTCCCCTCCCCAATTCTGCACCATTAGAACTTATGCAATCCAAATTTCTGAGATCAGCATGCCAAGCTCCAAAGGGTGTCTCTAATGCAATTCTGAGATTGGAGTCAGGCTTTATAAAAATGGAGGCCAGAGTGTGGGTGACTATACTCAGCTACTGGCTCAGACTATCCTTCTTTTCCACCGGCCTTGTTCCACTTACCCTGACTGATGAATTCCAGTCTACGTGGAAACAGACAGTGATGACTAAAATTTCTTCACTGGGGTTTTCTCCAGATTTTCAGCTCAGCATGGGATATGAAAAGTCCAAAGCAACCATCAAACAATGGGTGATAGCTATAGAGTGCCAACTTAAACCTAGTTAGCACTCCGGCTTTCATTGGAGAGCCTTTACTTTAGCACAATGCCATGTCCTCCCTTCAGCTGTTCTTGAAGGCTGATATAAGAAGATTCCCACCACAGACAATGTTCCTGTGACTCTGGCCAAATAGAGACAGCAGATCATGTACTACTCCAGTGCTTATCTCACCTCTATTGTATAAGCATCAAGGACACACCAGTCAATTTCACACCTCTTTGCTGCTTTCAGACACCAATCTGGATATAACATATAATGTTGCCAGATTCTGTGCAGCTGTGGATAAACTCTGTCAGGCAATGACTTCCACAGTTGGCTAGTATTAATCTTGTCCCACCTCACTGGATTTTAAATACTGGTTTTAGCCTGTGTTTTTACCCTGTTTATACCTTGTTTTTACCACTACCGTCTTTGATTCTGTATCCCCTTTTTACCTGTGCTGGTCTATGACCGTAATAAAAATGAACTGAACGGAACTGAACAGTTGCCATATTTTGGTTTAAATCAAACTCCCTCCCTTTCTGCCTCTTTCTTCCCCATCCCAGCCTCTATCGGCAGTTGCTGTTCAGGTAGCCTGCTCCTGCTCATGGAGGAGGCTCAATCCATTGGGTCATCCAGGCTCTGAGCTGATGCTGCCAAATGCATCTAATAATAATCCTTCCAATTAATGGCAGTGGTGTGTGGGCAGCGCATTACAAGACAAGGCAGGGTGGTTTTGCTTCCCCCCCATCACTCAGCAAGTCACGCTGCAGGATTCGAATCTGCAGAAATAGTAAAAGCTCACCTCTGTTTCCAGGGTAGGGAGCATCACTTGTTCTTCTGTGCCATTCAGGTGACTCCAACTTATGGCGACCTTGTAAGAGCCTCGCTCAGCAACCTCACTCAGGTCTTACACATGCAAGGAAGCCATGGCTTCTTTGATGGAATCAATACCACCTGGAATTCCTTTGCTAAACCCTTCCAGTTTACTGAGCGTGATTGCTTGTACATTGCTGTTCATGACATCTCGTACATCCTCTCATAGAATCCTAAAATCCTAGATTTGGAAGAAACCCCCAAGGGTCATCCAGTCCAGTCCAACCCCCTGCCATGCAGGAACTCACAATCAAATCGCTCCCAACAAATGGCCATCCAGCCTCTGTTTAAAAACTTCCAAAGACTGAAACTCCACCACCTTCTGAGTCTTGTTATTTGCCATCAGTTTGGCTTTTAAGGCTGCATCTGCACTGTAGAATTAATGCAGCTTGATACCTCTTTAACATCCATGGCTCCATCCCACGGATTTCTGGAATTTGTAGTTTGTTGTAGCACCAGAGTTCCACAACATACTACTATCCCCACAATTCCATAGCCTTGAGCCATGGCAGTTAAAGTGCTGTCAAACCGGATTATTTCTGCAGTGTGGATGCAACCACAGACTCTGGTGTATTAGAGTCCCAGGAGAAAAGGCATCAAGGAGAACACCATTTGTTTTTTCCTTCGAAACCTTTCAGGAGAAACCCACTTTTTATGACTCACATCCACACGTGCGTTCTCTTCTTCCATTTTCGTCAATGCTATTGATGACAGAAACAAATTAGCTTCCTGATGTATCATGCTCTGTCTGTCTCTAGCGACTAGAACTGGAAGGGATGGGAAAAAACAAAGTTGTTGACCTGAAGGCGAGGCTCTTTCCAAGAACAGGCAGCTGTGGTTTGGCAAAGCTTTCCCTTTCGCAGCTGAGGTTTAGTAAAGTTTATCTCTTGCCTTAATCTGGTTTTCAATGTGTGGATTTATTTTTAACTGCACTTTAAAATTATAAATGTAATAATAAAAACTGGACTTGCCACTTCATACACAAAAGATTTGAATTTGAATTGGCATTCTCACACACTGGTGACATATATAGGTCTGTCCCTGGCTTTCCACTCCACCAAATGCATCTGAGGAAGTAGATTTAAGTCTGCAAAAGCTCATGCTGCCAACTTCTTTCTTTCAGTTAGTCTCAAAGGTGCTACAAAATATCTGTGCATCCTGATTTCCTGATTCTACAAATGAACATGGCTACCGGTATATCTTTCAATTCAAGTTGGCAAGTTTCTTTGGGGGGGGGGGGGGGGTGCCATTGCCATCCTCTGAGGCTGAGAGATTGTGACTTGCCTAAAGGTCACCCAGTGGGTTTCCTGGCTAAACTGGGGATTCGACCCCTGATCTCCAGAGACATAATCCAATGCTCAAACCACTATGCCATGCTGGCTCTGTTATCATTACCCTTTAATTTCAGACTCCCCAATTTATCCTCAGAACAACCCTATGAGGTAGGACAAGCTGAGAGACAGAAAGATTAGCCTTAGGACACTGTGAATTTTGCCCCCCAGTAGAGAGAAAGAACTGAGATTTCTCATCCTAGCTCTCTAACCACTACACCATACTGTCTGGTAGTGTCATTTTATTGCATTGCAGCAGCTAATGAGTTTATTGGTAGGATCCAATATCTAGACCAGCTGGTCCACTCAGAGACTGATCCCCAATTCCGCTTCTGAGGACTCTGTTGCTGCCCTAGTTAATGATGGGAAAATCATTTATTTATGCAGGGCCCGCCTTTCTGTAAAAACATCAAAGGCAGTAATTGGACAATGTATGTGGAAATATATAATGAACTTTACTGTAACAATGTGTACTTGTGTGTGGGTGTCTATGTGTTTTCTGAGTTTCTTCAGACAGTATGGAGATCAGCAAGCCACAGAGATTATTAAAATTAAAATGAATATTAATATTTTAAAAATATTGTGATTAATATAACTGTGAACCAGTAACGCTTGAGAGTCTGCAATCTCAAGATTTGACTTGAAAGACTGTCGTCCTGTGCCTTCAAGTAAGTTCTGAGTTATGGCCACCCTTTCATGAGGTTTATCTTGTCAAGATTTGTTCAGAAGGGCTTTGCCATCGCCATCCTCAGAGGCTGAGAGAGTGTGACATGCCCAAGGTTGCCCAGTGGGTTTCCATGGCCGAGCCAAGATTCAAACCCTGGTCACCCAGAGTCATAGTCCAGTGCTCAAACCACTATACTACACTTCTCCAGTAGATAGATAGATAGAGGATAGGATAGATGGATGGATGGAGATGATAGATAGATAGATGATAGATAGAGGATGAATGGACAGTTGGACAGACAGACAAACAAACAGACAGGCCTTTACCACAGTAGTGTTGTGGGTCTGTTTCAGATGGTGAGTTTTGTTTCTCTTTGTGTATATTTCAGAACAGACCCTCCCTTTTGTAGCTATCCCACTGTGTGTGCGCATTGTGTGTGTGTGTGTGTGTGTGTAAGTGTACACACCATTTTTCCAAGCGTTGTGTGCCTTTGGAGTTTTGTTGTTGTTGTTGTTTTGAGATTCTCTTGGCTCTCAGATGTGCAAGCTTGAGCTCATCTAAGGAGAGGTCTCAGTGACACCTGAGGCTTAATCCTGTCCCCATTTACCTGGGAGGAAGCCCCATTGAGGTCAATGGGACTTCCTTCCTCCCTTCTTTCCAAGCCTGAGATGCTTGAGTTGTGTGTTGTGCGAGAGATCTGGTCTGAATCACTTCCCTTCCCCCTCCGCCCCCTTATTCCTGGCTCTTCTCTTGTTTGAATAATCAGAAGGATGACTTACCTGCTGCCCCACCTTCCCGGCTCATCTCTGGCACACAGGAAGTGTTGCCTAGCAGTCAGAGGAATCCTGGGCTGCTTTGTTCTATTTTGGGCCCTGGTGCTGACGGGTGCTTTAAGGAATCTTTTCCACCTCCTTCCAGGTCGGCTACCAATCTAATCTCTGGCAATTGAGATAATGATGACCATTATTTTGGAAAAGGGATACATGAAGTCTGTCCTATGGCACTGGATGCAGAACCACACACAGAGAAGGAAGCAGGGCAGGTAGTCAGGAACCACAGAAGTGGCCAAGAAATTGTGCTCACACACTCCTCCAGTTTTGTTGTTGTGTACCTTCAAGCCATTTCTAACTTACTGATTGTGTTGCAGAGGGGGTGGGATAGAAATTATTATTATTATTATTATTATTATTATTATTATTATTATTATTATTTGTTCAAAGAGGGTTTGCTGCAGTTTGCCAAGGCTGAGAGAGTATGACTTGCCCAGGTCACCCAGTATGTTTCCATGACAGAGCAGGGATTTGAATCCTGGTCTCTTGGAGCCCTAATCCAACATCTGTACCACTATGCCATGCTGACTCTCAGTTGCTATGTCCCTTCAAGTTGACTGCAGCATGTTGTGAGGTTGTCTTGACAAGATTCATTCAGAGGAGGTTTTCCATTGCCTTCCTCTTAGGCTGAGACAGTGGGACTTGCCCAGTGTCCTGGGCTCATTTCTACCTTACTGTTTTTTGCTCCCAGGTAAGCTGGAGGGATGGGCAGCATTTATGGCCTCCTGCAAGAGTGTGACACCTAAGGTCACCCAATGGTTTTACGTGGCCTACTGGGTGACCTTGAGCAAGTCACACTCTCTCAGCCTCAGGGGAAAGCAATGCCAAACCCCTCTGAAGAAATCTTGCCAAGAAAAGCCCATGATGGGTTTGCCTTAGGATCATCATAAGCAGAAATGACTTAGAGGCACACAACAACAACACTGACAATTGATTTAATTGACAGTCAAGTGAAGTAGCTGAAGGAACGGAGACACATAACCTGAAAGTATGGACCCTGTATCAAATGGTGTGGCATTTTGTTGTTGTTGATCTGTGCCTGGTTTCGATTCCTGTACTGCAGCCATTCACAAACCACAAGGTTGCAAGTTCAACACCAGCCAGGGCTCAGGCTCGACTCAGGCTCGTATCCTTCCGAGGTTGCTAAAATGAGGACCCAGCTTGTTGGGGGCAATTAGCTTATACTTGTAAACTGCTTAGAGCAGGGGTAGGCAACCTTTCCCCTTTAAGGGCCGAGGGACTTCAGCTCCCAGAAGCCTCAGCCATGTTGGCCAATAGTCCCATGTTGGCCAATAGCTCCTGGGATTCTGGGAGCTGAAGTCCCTCGGCCCTTAAAGGGAAAAGGTTGCCTACCCCTGGCTTAGAGACTGCATAGCACGGCATGAAGCAGTATATAAATGAAGCAGCTATTGCTATTGCTATTGCTAGCCAATCAAGGGGTTTCTTCAGAGGAGGATTTGTCCTTGCCATCCTCTGAGGCTGAGAGAGTGTGGGCTGAGCAGGGATTCAAGCCCTGTTGTCTCAAACCCCTATACCACAAAACCTGGCATTTTACAGCTTACAAGAGCACAGATCCCTGCCCTGAGGGATTTACAGTTTAAAATCTGCAGGAGAAGCAGAAGAGATCTCAACATCTCTTCCTGGTTTTGGCAAAGCAAACTCTGTTCATCTCCTTTGGTCTTCCTCGCCATCTAAGGAGGAAAACCCACAAACCCATATGCCTCCAACACCCAAGGCCAGCTGGTAGGCATGCCATTTCTGGGTTGGTGCCTGTGCCGCTGGGGCCATTTCCCACCTCCTTGGGGCTGGGCGGAGGACTGCATGAGCCATTTGACATTCTCAGGCTGCGCTCCAAGTGGGGCAAGAGGGGCGTGGGAATGCCTGGGCCCTGAGTGTGTCCCAGTGTTTGCTTCTGACAGTCACAGCGCGTCACTGGTGGGTCACACCTATTGGGGGTGGAGGGACACCCACTGTGAATCCTGACTCAAGGCCAGGCCACGGCCTGTGGTTATTCAACGCATATTCATCCCCCATCCTGGAATTGTCATTATTTTTTTCCTTCTATAGATAGTCACAGGGCGTGGGTTTACTATAACTACATCCACAATCGACAAACCAGGAGTACCTTTATGAGGCTAACCAAAATGCACAAAATATGTGATGCAAGCTTTCGAAGCTACAACAGCTTCGGCGTCAGGCAAAGGTGGTAAAAAATCAAAAAGGAGGGGGGGGGAATTATAAAATGACTATCTTATTAGTTGCATTTTCTCTAGGTGTTGGGGTTGTGTTGTTCTATACAAGGGGGTCTTTCCTCCTCCTGGCCATGTGGCACTGGGAACAAAGCATTTTAAAAATCCAGGAGGTACAATTTGAATTCTATTAGCAATACAAAAAGGTTATTTCTTCTGAGAGCCAAGATGTCTCCATCCTTTGTGAGCCCTCTTTGTTAGGCAAGAGAACACTGAATCTCTTAAGAGAAACCGCCATGCTTTTGCATTAGGAAACTTTTAGGTGCTGTTTTGTGTTGTTGTTGTTGTTGTTGTGTACCTTGAAATCATTTCTGACTTATACGTTCTGACTTATATTATTCTGACTTGTACTTATACTTACATGTTTCCCTATGGCAAACCTATCACAGGGTTTTATTGACAACTTTATTCAGAGGATGTTGCTATTTATTGCGTCCTCTGAGACTGAGAGAGTGTGACTCTCCGAAGGCCACCTAGTGGGTTTCTATGGCCCAGCCAGGATACGAACCCTGGTCTCCAGTGTCCAACACCCAAACCAATACACCCCTCTGGCCCACTGGCTGTTTTGGTAAAACATGACAAATGTAGTCCCAATTAAAAAACAAACAAACATTTTGTGTATTTGTTGGCAGTAATCGTAAATAGTTATGTAAACAGTAAAGTCCCAGTCCATTGCCTCTCTCTTTAGGATTCCTTGTAGTGGTTAAAATTTGTGTGCATTTCTGTCCCATCTGCACCTTGTTCAGTCTGACAGAGGAGGATTTGCATACCTTGGGCAAGTCACACTCTCTCAGTCTCAGGATGGCAATGGCAAAACTCCTCTGAACAAATCTTGCCAAACAGATCCCATGATAGGTTCACCATAGGGTTGTCATAAGTCAGAAATGACTTGAAGGCACACAACAACAGCAACGTGGCAAATGTCTATCCTCTCAAGTTGATCCTCCTCGCAAGGTAGGCCAGGCTGAGAGAAAAACAAAGCCAAAGCCACCCAGTGAGTTTAATGGTCCAAGGGAGGAGGAACTTGAGCCTGGATCTCATATCCTCCCAGTATTCATAGATGAAAACTGGGACATGTGTGGCCAAGCAACATCAGAATGTGATCAAGATGGCAAAAGGTACCAATAAGGAAGGACACACAAGCTAGGAGAGGCTGCAGCAATCTGCTTTTGCCAGAGCCAACTGGAAAGGCAAGATTCTGCCTCCTCTTCTCCTTTTCCCACGCTGATACAATTAAGTGCAAAATATTTTTACACTTTGAACTCAAGTTTGCTGCAACTAGCTGAGGATAGAGGGGGGAAAGTAGGAGGAAGAAATAGAAACCAGGACATTTTAAAAACAGCTGAAGAAATGGGATGGAAGAGGATTAATTAGGATTGTCCCTGCCAAATCAGGACATTTGGAGGGTTTGGGGTTTGCTCACTTGTGTCATCTCCCCTCTGATGTTTTCCACCACTCCTGAAACCATCTTAAAAACAATCTCCCAGGTAAATAAGAGTATGCCTCATAGTCACAAGAGCCACAGTGGTGGGAGATACAGTGGTTTAGCCATTTTTGTGTTGGACTAGGACTCAAGGTGACTAGGTTTGAATCTAAGATTAATTGTAGATCTTCTGTGGTCATTATTTTCATTTTCTTAAGGTTCAGCTTTAAATCTACCTTGGCACTTTCCTCCTTGGCCTTCTTTAGGAATTGTTCCAGGTCTTTGTTGGCTTCTGCTAGTAGCACAGTGTCTTCTACATATCTTGTTTGCTGTTGATGTTCCTTCCTCCAGTCTTCACTCCTTCCACCTCAGAGTCTAAGCATGCCCTGTGTACGATACTGAATAAATAGGGTTATTTAGCTATAGGGTTATTGAATGAATAGGGTTAAATAGGGAATAAATGCAGCCTTGCCTGATCCCTTTACCAATTGGGAACCATTCTGTTTCTCCATATAAATGCTACTCCAGTCATATTTTGAGGGCCACAGGTCCACCTCTGCTGTTCATACTCCCAGCTAAGTAGAATCAAGGAATCTTAAGAACTGGAAGGGATCCCAAGGGCCATCCAATCCAACCTCTTTCAGCCATGCAGGAAGACGAAGATGGCCATCCAGCCTCTGTTTAAAGACCTCCATAGAAGGAGACTCCATCACTCCCCAAGGTGAGTAAGTAACCCCCCACTCCATGCAGTTGTGGGTTCACTCCTGAGGATTGTGTCTAGATGTTAATTTTGGGGAGCTGTGTGCTTGTATTCCAACCTACTCCAGCTACTTGTGCAAAGTGCTCCAGCCTGCAGAAGGCACTCAGTTGAAGCATAGATGATCTTGTTATGAGAAACTGATATTTGGGGGAAGAGTCCACAGATTGAATCAATGCACAGAGGCCTGCTGGCTTCATTCAGCATCCCACCCGCGATAAACTGTAATTTGCTCACCCTGCTTCTTTTTTCAGGGCACCGTGATCCAGTGACTCAGCTAATCCAAAGCACCTTGTCTTAACATTTAGAGTAAAGATTATTGACTAGATCATCTCACTGGGATAATTCAAAGCTTTGCTCTTGCTCACCCTGGTTAACCTACAGAGGAGCTAATTTTGAAACCTGGTTTGCCTCCAGCAGTTCCTTTCTTGCAAAGCTTATCTTTAAAACAAAACTAAAAAGAAAAAAAAAAGAAAAATATTATTTTGAAGAGATTTATCAGCTCAGATCTTGCAAAACTCACCTCAGGGTGTGTTCCTTCATACCACTCAGGTTTTGGACATCCTCCCCGTGGATCTATGCTCCTCCCAAAATATGTGTGGCTCCAACTCTCAACTCAGCTCTTGCAAAGTTCATCTTGCAAAGTAATGCTTGGATTGCACCCCAAAAAATTAAATTGGGGGACTGGGGGAGTACTTGTCCGGTGGCAACAGATGGCCTGTGATTTTTCCCCACACACTGAGTGCTGTTGTTGTTGTTGTTGTTGTTGTTGTGTGCCTTCAAGTCCTTTTTGATTTATGGCGACCCTAAGGTGGGTTTTGTTGGTAAGTTTGCCATTTGCCATCCTCTCAGGCTGAAAGAGTGTGCCTTGGCCAAGGTCACTCAGTGAGCCAGGATTTGAACGCAGGTCTCCCAGAGTCCTAGTCCAACACTCAAACCATTATAACATTCCATCAAAACAGAAGTTGTGTGCTTTGAACTTAGTTTGGAGGACAAAGAAGGAAACAGGAAGAGGAAAGAGAAACCGGAACATTTTAAAAGCAGCTGAAACAGTGGGATGGCAGAGGATGAATCAAGACTGTCCCTGCCAAAGTGGGACA